TTTTTGCTATAAATTTCTTCCCCTGCCTCCGTCTTCTGTTCCTTTCCTTTCCCCCATCCCTTGAACAAACATGATTTTTAAATTCCCCTCATTTTCAGTGCTTTGGAGTCTTCTCAGATCTGGAGGAGAACAGTTCCTGAGCTGCGCGGAGCAGTTCCGGAGCCCTGGCTGCTTTTCCCTGGGCCTAAGCCCCCAAGAAGAGAGTGCTTTTCAGGACCATGGGAGCATGTTTTAAAAGCCTTTCTATTGAAGCAAGGCCGTCAGCCAGCCGTGCGTGTCCGCATTGTGGTGGTCCCAGAGCCTTATGGACAATCCCTTTGAAAGAATAGGGTTGGGAAGATTCTCAGGACAGAAGCGGCTAATTTCCATCCTTGGAGCTTTATCTCACAAAGGATATTTGATAGAAAGAAAAAATGGAGTCTGTGGAAGCTTTGCTCCTATTTCCAAATGGGTTGACTCTGGATGGAAAGGCATATTTTCACATTTTTCCCAATAGAGGAAAGCTTTTAGTGCCAAAATCCTCAAAGGAGAATGAACATCACACATCACACATCACACATGTATGTGTAAGGGTAGAATAATATGGTAAAAAATCCAGTGAGTACAAGCACACAACGGGCATTCAGTGCAAGTTAAATGAATAAGTAAGAAAAATTCAAAGTTGTTATTGCTGTTTATGAGAGTGGTGATTATTAACAGATGCAAATGTATACTCCCTTTTGTAATCACAACAATGTAAAAGTCTTGTCTGTAATCATTACCATGGGGACACTTAAATATTTAGTCCTGGGGACAAAATGGTTTGTAGGCAGGACGTCCTGTGTGTTTGTGTGCACATATAAAATGCAGCCGTGGCCCCAGGACTGCAAGGCCTCTGACAGCATCATTTACATTCAGGGGTGGTCCTGATCAACATGGCCCCATAGAATAATAGAGGGAATTTCAGGAAGTACAGTGTTAGATAATAAACGCTTTCCACAGACTCTGTTTATAGGTGGAAATTTGAAGTGCTGAGTGAAAAAGAATAGTGAAAATAAAGACAGGAAGTATACACAACAAACAATTTTTCTTCTCTGCAAATCAGATTATTCCCTTGCGCACCCTGCAACCCCCATCTATGATGTCAAACTCAATGGATGGTTGAACTAACAGCTTGGGAGTCACCAGGGTGAGAGTGTGTGTGTCCATGCTGTGCACCTTGAATTAGGCTGGCCACCACGGCTGTGTACAGCTACCCCAGGAAGAGCCCCTCCCCTCCTCATCGTTTCAGTGGAAAATGTGCTGATTGAGACCCGGCTACAGGAATCACATTTGGGCAGAGGGAATGGTTTACCCTTTTCATGAGGGGTCTTGACTCAAGAACACTTGCCAATTCTGCTTGTCCATTTCCCATTCTTTACAGTTTTTCCTGTCACTCCTTAGATTGAGAAAGAAAAATCTATAGGAATGATTCGGAGGGATTTCTCTTTTGTTCATAAATAAACCTTAACCCTGGATGAGCTCGTTCACACTAGGGAAGTTACTACCACTGGCCTTGAAGCCAGGCAGATCTGGGTGTTCCTTCCCATTTCTTTATTTGCTTTGTGGGTGATCTTTTACCAGCTTTTCTGCTATTTCATCCTTGTTAGCGAGGGCTCCTTTAGCTGCAGAACAGGGGCGATGATGCCTACCTTGCTGGATTGTAGTAGAGAATGCTGTTTATGCAGGAAAATAAAAAAAACACATAGCATACAATAGGAGCTTAATACATAAGAATTATACACAGTCTTTTGTGTATATATCAATGTATTTCATGTCCTTAATATTTAAAGCAAGTACATTCTTTTGAATTAAGCATAAAAAGGTCATAAAATGCCAGATATGTGCTTATTTGAAGTGTTTGCAAAGCTTTGCAATTGATTTAAAACAAGGAGATGATATAACAGGGTCTTAGCTCTGCCACTAATTAGTTACACAATCTTAGATTATGTCACTTCCCTGGGTCTCAGTTGTAAACAGTTGCTTAATAAATAATTTTTGTTTTGCTGTCATAAATAATCCAAAATTAGGCAGTGAAATATGGAAGCTCCATCGGTGGGGGCTTCTGTGAGGTTCAGGTCCTGGAGGGAAGTGTGAGCTGGCACTTCCACCTCCCTCCCTACCAGCGCCCTCCACAAACACTGCTCACAGATGCAGGGGCACTTCTCCTATTTCTATTTTGCTTGGTCTAGAGGCCAGCCAGGCAGGAGTCACCCTGTTCTTGGATGCAATGTGGCCCAGATCCAGGCTCCAGCAGCAGGTCCGACTGCAGCACTTTCTCCCTCGGGGTGGCTCCCAGTCCTTTGGATTCCCAGTCAGGACTGCGGAGGGCCCAGTCTTCCTCACCACCAGGCCCCTCTCCTGGAAGCTGCGAAAACCTCCCTCCATTTCAGGCACTGGGAATCAGCATTATTTGGCGTCTGCCTGGATGTGTCACAGATTTATCCTGCAAAGTCTCTCCCCTCCTGACCTCAAATGTTCCTGTCCCTACAACCAGACAGCAGGCCCCGGGCCTCCAGGGCTCCTTCCAGTGCCTCCTTGTCATCTTTTGAATCAGAGCTCATGAGGCCACCCGCATAGGCAGGCTGGAGAGGAGTGGCAAGAAGTTCACCGTCGGACAGTACTGAGCAGAGCGACAGAGGCCCCCAGAGACTTCCCACAACAGAAAAGGCCAACTCCCGCATTTGCAGGGGACGTGAAAGAGCAATACTGTGAGGAACAAAGGGAAGCCTCGTCTCTGGAAGCCGGGAGGAAACACAGTCGGTGTAGACAGCAGCGGCAGGGACCAGAGCTGACCAGAAGGCTGGGTCCCGGCAACAATTAGAGACAGGCAGCAGCTGAGGCCCCTTCCCTGAGAGCCATTTCAATTGCACAGTGGCCACAGAAGGCTGCATTGGCCCGGCAGCCAGCTCTGCGAGCCATTTGTCCACAAGGAAAATAATAGCCCCGGCCTCATTGCTTTGGGCTGCAGGGAGGACAATGACCCACCATGAAAAGAGTTAAAAAGATTCTGGGGAAGGGGAAAGGCAGGCCCACACGGTGGCAATTCAAGATCTTTTGGATGCCGTGAGCGTGTTCTTTAATTAAGCCCCTCTTCTTCAGCTCATCCTGCAGAAACGCACCTGCTTCCCATCTGCCATCCAAAACGGCGAGCACAAGAATGACTTCACACTGTCACTTTCAGAGCTCCGCTGTGGCCCACAGTGATTTTTCAAGAAAGGCAGCCACAGACTCACTCGCTCTTTCTCTTTCTCCCTTGCTCTGAAAGCTTCTATAAAAACCACATTAAAAAGTGTGTGAGCCGAGCAATTTCATTTACCAAAGGAAGAAGGTCACACATAGCATTCATTCTAAGAATATCAGGCACACGGCCAGCCCTGGACACAAGGCATGAAGACCAGAGGCCCCTTTATTGACCTAATCTCTATTTTCTCACCCAAACTGCATCTGTGCCTGAAAGCTGGAACACACAATATTTCCCTCTACCAAAATAATTTTATTTCTGCAGCAGCATGTAACAAACAATTAAGGGTGGTGACATGGGCTTCTGTCATTTTCCGAACAACCCAGTTCTGTTTGGTGTTAACTGCAGTGGTTGTTATTTTAGGTGGTTCAGTGCTTATTCCATTCTGCCCATTGGTTCCATTTGCATGGGCCTGCAGCAGGCATGAGCCCATGCCCTGTCTTCTACCACCCTGGAAATCATGTTACTGCCAGTACTGTGTTGGGGCCTTGCTTGAGGTCCTGTCCCCTGCCCTTTTCACAGTTGTTGCTGTGCCTTCGTGGAGAGGACTGAATGGGCTGTTTCCCTCTCCCATCCATGTCTGCTGTCTCCAAAACTAAAGGAGGCTGCAGTGAAACCAGCCTGGCCCAGGTTCCTCTGGTGCCTGTTGTGGCTCAAACTATCCGTGTCTGCTGTCTCCAAAACTAAAGGAGGCTGCAGTGAAACCAGTCTGGCCCAGGTTCCTCTGGTGCCTGTTGTGGCTCAAACTATCCAAACTACAGTGGCTGATTCCCAACGACCCATCCCTTTGTACCCTTGTGCCCCATTGAACAAGTGGCCTATGTTATGAATAGGGAAGCTAAGGTCGTTAACAATATGTGCAGACGTACAAAGAAAGTGCAAGTCAGAGATCCTTGTCTCAGCTACTTCTCTTGAAAAATGACTCCATGCCCTGAGATGCTATAAATGGAACAAACAGTGTGAAGTTGTTCTCCCCCTCCAAGAAACTGCCCCTCGAGGTGTTCCCCCGTTAGACATCTGCTCCTCCAAGCCTGGTCTTCTCTCTGCATCCACTTTCCCTATGCCTCCCCCACCCACCATGCTTGCCTCCTTGTCACACACATGATCTGTGGTCCTACCCTGCACTTGGTGCTGGGGGCTGTGATTCCCTCTGCCTCTGTCTCCTGACATCATCCCTGACATCATCTTTCACCGTGCACTGGTCTCGCTTCCTCAGGAGCTCTGTGGATGGCCTTGTTCTCTGATTATTTGATTATTCCATTATCAACCCAAAGCTCACTGGGTCTATAGGGCTGAAAGGTCATTTTTGTTATATCATTTTAATTATTCAGATGAAAGATTCCCAGGCACAGATTTATCACCGCTGCCTAAAGAAAAGCAGAGACACACGTAATTCCACACTTTGAAAATCTATTCTTAAAAGCAAAAATATGATTCATTTGAAGGTATTCATAAAACAAGATGTTCATTGAAAAAGCCTGATGATTTTTAGCATTTCAAATAAATTGTGTACAGTTATGGTCATTTGTTAACTATTTTGGAGACTGCGAGCTGACCATTATCTCTCTTTTTCAGATAACAAAATGCATCCACCCTCTCCCAGAGTGTAAACTAATCTGGTGGCTGGAAAAACAAACAAACAAACAAACAAACAAACAAACAAAGATCTGTGAAGGAAGATCTGACTTCTCAACTGGCGCATACCATTCCTTGAAACAGAGGTGATAAACAGGTAGAGATGAAACCATCAAACATCCAGGCAGGGCCTGTTTATCTCTGGGCAGAAATCTGTTCAATTCCATGATAAAACAAGGTTTGGAATCAGGGATTCAATTTCACAAACTAAACAAACATGTGTGTACACACGTGCACACTGTGCATCTCCCAGTGCACACACGCGCAACCCGTTTCGCAGGGTCCCAGCACAATTGTCTCTGTAGGAAAAACGCTCAGTCTTGCTGATTTGTGGCCCTTTCTCCGGTTTGCATCAGGTTGGGCCTCATAACACAGGACTGGCCTAGGCATTAGGTCGGAGCTGGAATATGCCAAGCTCTTCCCCATCCCTTCCCCATTCCCAGGGCTGAGTAGTGGTTAGAAGGGTGAGCACAACACACCCAGATACTTACCCCCTCTATGTCTTCTGCCTTTCCTCTTTCCGCTGTGGGCATTTCTTCTTAGAGTAGCCTTCTGATCATGCTCGCTGGTTGTCCGCTTCTTAAGACTGGCCATGTTTCACAATTCCTCCAATTGCCTTACTTCCCCTAAGGCTCTCCCTTTTCCAGGATATCTCATTGATGCCTGTGCTAGAGTTTTCCAGAGAAACAGGACCAATAGCATATATAGAAATAGACGGAAAGAGATTTATGATGAGGGATTGGTTAAAATAATGGTGGACACAGAGAAGTCCCACAATCTGCCACCTGAGAGCTAGAGGCCCAGCAAAGCTGCTGGTGTTGTTCTAGTCCAAGCCCAGAGGCCTGAGAACCAGGACCACTGATGTGCAAGGACAGATGAAGACGGGCGTCTCAGGAGAAGCAGAAAGGAAATTCACCCATCCTCGCCTTTTTGTTCTAGTCAAGCCCTTAACAGATTGCCTGGTGTCCGCCTACATTGGTGAGGGTGATCTTCTTCGCTCAGCGTACTGAATCAAATGCCAGACTCTTCCAGAAGGACCTTCACAGGTATGCTCAGTAGGCAAGTTTTACCAGGTATCTAAGCCCAGTCACAACAACTGAACCATCGCAGCACCTAAGACTTGAATTTCCAATTGTCTGCTGGTGTTTGTAAAACATTGATAGGCAGCTCATCCCTCTCTGTTGAATCCTGGACAGTTTCAAAACCTGCTAGTCAGCTCTGTCCCGTTCTGCAGGCACCACAACCTCCAAACATCCAAATAAAGTAAGTGTCCTGGCTTACTCTACTTCTGACCTGTCCTTCACAACCTGCTTCTTCTCCAAATTACCTGTGGGTAATCTATGGCATTCTCATAATTAGCCCAAACTAGCAATCCAGTCCCTACACACACACACACACAACACACAAACACACACACACAAACACAGACCCTAAATTCCCTTAATTTGTTTACTGAATCTGAATCTGCTTCTTCTGCTGCTGAAACATTTCTGGAATCCCCCTTTCCTCTCATGCGCTGCCACTACCCAAGTTTAGATACTCATAAAGTCTTGTCCATGTGACTTCTAATGCACCTAATTGGTTGCTTATATCCAGGTCCCCCCTTACTCTTCAGTCTATCTTCCACTCTACTCCTAGACTTGTTTTTCATATATAAAGCTCTTATTTTCCAGCACATAAAGAATAGGCTTCTCAGCACGGCACTCGAGGCTTTGCAAATGTGCTGTCAACCTGTGCAGACTCAGTGAACCTGTGGGGGGTGCACCTGTGCAGACTCTTAGTGGCTCCTCCCCTCTCTTCAACACTCCTGGCCCATCCCGAAGAGGCTGCCTTAAGCCTTTTCAACTCTGCACATGTCCCTCCACTAGGAACGCCCTTCCTCTCCCAGGCTTGGCAAGTGCATTTTCAAGGCCTCTTGGAGTGCTGTGCGCTGTTTGCTGTCGGTGATATGGCCCATGCTCTAGGCAGTTTGGTCTTGTGAGTGCAAATAAGGGGCTTATCACAAGTCCTCTCACTTGCCTTGAACTTGGAATGTCTGACCTTTTCTCATGTGTAGCTTAGTGCAGGCTCAGGGTAGAATGAGGTGGGTGGGCAGTGCTGAACATGAAGATGGTTCTGGGGAGTCTCTGTGTGACTAATATCGCAAGGCCTGGGGTAAAACCTCCTGCGGCTTCTGTTTCCCCTGGCTGGTCTGAGCTAGGGGAAACGGCATGCTTGCCATCATCACTACCACGCTGTGCTCCCATTTGCTACAAGGACATAATCAGCATCATTGCCTCATTCTCCTCAAAGCACGTTCCATTCATTTTCTTATTCAAGGCAGTGGTTTTTCTCCCCATTCCACAAGTGAGGAGATGAAGATTCAGACAGAGCAAGTAATTTTTCATAGTGGCGATTCACCCTGTGATTCTCTGGACTAGAGTCATCTTGTGGATACTCTGCCTCCCTCCTCTGGTCTCTCTCTTTCCTCCATCCTCTTTCCTCAAATATGTGTCACCTCTGTCTCATTCTCTGGTCACTTACCCCCACCATCCTTTCTTGGCTCACATCTGAAGTACTCCAGACTACCAGATTAGGTAGAAATTCAAAGGCATGAGAAAATGGCAAGCATGGAAACAAAATCTTGGCAGAGATGAATCAAAAAGAAGCCTCTTCCCCTCATGAATTCCTTGGTGCCCCATCAACCTCCATCCATCGATACACCAGCCTCACTCCGACCACCCGTGTCTTCCACATACTATGGCTCTTATATTTGTTTTCTGCATCTTGCACAAAATAATGCGCTGTAGTCATAGTTGATGTTCTCCAGGGGATTTGACTACCCTCACACAAAATCTCTAGTAAAAAGAGCTGACTTAAGTCACACATATAAAAGCAGCATGATAGCATGCAACGTTTATCAAACCTTAGTGGAAAAAGGATCGCCTGGAAGGCTTTTTGGAAAGTGTATCCATTCTCATCTCTAGTGATGGTGCCTGACTAGGTCTGGGCAGGATTCCTGGAGTGTCAGGGGATTCCTGAAGGAGGTCAACAGAAATCTCACTGGCGAAAGAAGAACTGACTTTGAATTTAGACAGACCTTGGTTCAGACCTTACCTTTGCCATATGCAAACATTAGAATTTTGAAAGAATTGCTCGTTTTTATTTGACTTTTCATTTGATTTTGAAAATAAAAACTTCCCTTTTCATTTTGTTTTGACTTTCAGTTTTTTTCCCTTAGAAAGCAAATCAAAGTGAAACCTACCTCAAGGCAACATGCCAGAATCAAATGAAATCAATTAGATTAATCCATTAAATCATGAAATAAAATAACCATCCTATGTTGGTTTTCGTATAAATGGAAAGTTGCTTTTTCCATGTCAGAGTGAATATTTTATAAAAGTATAATTACACATAAAGGAAAATATTATAATCCATTGAGAAAGTGGTTGTTTTATTTAGTTTGAGAATTACATGCTATTAATGTGTTTGTATCACTAGAAATTTTGCAGAGATCCCTACAGAAAATAATTATAACAATTTCCTCTTATTTCAGCTTCGACAGTGTGGTAGCAGGTATCCTGAAGGTGCTGCCTCTGACACCTCCTGGAAATTCTGTGTGCACGACTACAAGCATTATTTGAATGCTTGGCTGAGTTCAGGAGAGGGACTCTGCAGCAGCCAGAGTGAAGAACAAAGTGTTGAGAGATACTGGGAGGACACAGGAATGCAGAGGACAGGGATGCTTTTCTAATTTGTGCATCAGGGGATTGGGGGCACTCACCACAGGAGACAGAAGTTGGGTCCTTGAATCCTTGGGTCAGAAATCAAAACTTACTCATATCTTCTGCTCCACCCAACTAAGCCTGGCCCTGGCTGGGTCACACCCTCACTGAAAAGTATGCAAGAAAAAAACCTGCCTGCTAGGTCAGGGGGCTGGAATGAATTCCAGGCTGTGTCTACGTGGATGTCAGTGAGGTCTGAGTGAAATACAGGCTGCAGGAACTTCCCTGAATGTTTGTAACCATGGACCTAACTCATAAAGGATCAGGGTTGGAACTGAGATGATCAAGGCTGTGAACCCAAGTGCACCTGGTGGAAACACACACAAACCACTCCTGAAAAATGAACTCTCCAGCATCCCCACACCCCAAATTCATGTGGAGCAATATGCTTAAAATGCGTAAAGACATTTAAAAAAGGAAATATAGTTATCAGAAAAGACAGAGGATGCTTCAAAAATACAAGATAGATTTTAGAAAAAATTAAATGGAACGTGTTAAAAATGTGATCATTGAAACTGGGATAATTCAAATGAGAGGAACAGCACATAGGATGCCCATAAAAAAATTAATGGGTAGTAGAATAGATTAGAATCATTTACCCCACATCGAACAAAAAGAGATACAGAGATTTTATCTCTGTTTACCTGTTAGAAACCTACCTCTAATTAGAGGACCAAAGAAACAAAACAGACAAAAGTGGAAGAAAGGCAATATTCATAGAAATAATAAATATTTTTCCCACAACTTATGAAAGAATGGAGTCTGGAGAATCAGGAATTTCAGTAAGTCCTAAGAAAAATAAGTCCCACTGAGTACATACCTAAACTCATTGCAGTGAAACTGCATGCTACCCAATACAAGACATGATTAAACACACACACACACACACACAGACACACACACGCGCGCGCATGCGCCGAGAAAAAACAGACTCCCAATAAAGAAAAAAAATTAGTCTGAAAGTAGACTTCTCAACAGTCATCAGGGAGGCTGGGGTTTACCTTGACTGCCTAAATTAAAGTCCATTCCCAAGGACATCTCAAATGACCAAGTAACCAGTCCCTGCTTGTTTACAGAGTGCGAAAGTTGTTTAGATTTGCAATGAACCACCTCTCTACCTCCACCTCACTGAGCTCTGAGGCAAATGGATTTCCCTATTATAAACTAGGAATGAGTGTCTGAAAGAAGCCTTTTCTGATTCCCTGCAAAAGTTCATTCATCAGGAGGAAGGGGAGTCATCCCAGCCTTCACCACCTGTGGAACGCAGCAACCTCACTGTGGAAGACACCAGTAGGTAAGAATTTGCTCATGGAGCCATATGATTAAAGACAATATTGAACCTGACCCCTTGGCTGCCTGTCTCTTTCCCCTTCCTGCAGGAGAAGTAGAGGCATCTTTTAAGGACAAAGATGACAGTCTTTGTGCCTGGCTGAGTCCTTGGCTAGAGACATACAGAATAATAGAAGATACTTAGACGGATAGTAAATTGATATGTTTTTATTTGCCCCTGAAATTATGTTCCTTTCTAGCCTGTTCCTCCCAAGAATGAGCCGCAGAGGGTGTTGCCCGCAGCAGGAGGGAGCCGATTCTCATCAGAGAACAAAGTGACTTGATGAATTCTACATTTTAAAGGTGGATTTTCTTGATCTCCTTAGTCAGACTTATTTTTGCAAGTCAAACTTTGTAAAGAGAGAAGAGATTTAAAAATTTTAAATCACCCCTTCGGAATGCCAAGGCTTTGGCCATATCAATTATTTATTTATTTATTTATTTATTTATTTATTTATTTTTTGAAATGAAGTTTCGCTTTTGTTGCCCAGGCTGGAGTGCAACGGTGCAATCTTGGCTCACCGCAACCTCCGCTGCCTGGGTTCAAGAGATTCTCCTGCCTCAGCCTCCCGTTTTTGGGATCAAAGCATGAGCCACCATGCCTGGCTAATTTTGTATTTTTGGTAGAGACTAGGTTTCTCCATGTTGGTGAGGCTGGTCTTGAACTCTCGATCTCAGGTGATCTGCCCGCCTCGGCCTCCCAAAATGCTGGGATTACAGGCATGAGCCACAGCGCCTGGCTGGGCCATACAAATTTATTTGTGATCATCGTGTTAGTGTTTTCCACAGAGAGTCTCCTGAGAGTAGAGAGAGGGAGAGTGAGAGAGAGATTGAGGCTGAGGTCTGTTAGGGCCTTGGACTTGTCCTGGCAAAGTGGAGACCCCAGAAGAGAAGAAGAGGAGGTATAAGGTGCTGGGTGTGGAGGGTGGAGAAATGTTTGGTGGGCTGGTGTCACATAGCTTTTTCCGTAGCTACTTTATTGTATCATTGCTTTAACATCGCTTTCTCAGAACTGCTCTGATCATCTGACTCTCAATATCCATAGGCCTCATTGGATTAGGCTTTCTTTGCATTGATGCTTCTGTCATACGCCTATTTGCTGACAGGGTTATTGTCAGCTCTCTCACTGGAACGTCTTCTCTATTCTCTCTCCAGAGCCTGGACGCAGCTGACCATAATGTTTATTCAATCAATGCTGGGAAGGAAGCTAACATTCAAAGGTGCTTTGCTCTGCTTGCCTCCAGGACTGGGGCAGGAGAATGCCTTGTAGAGTGTGCTTTATGCTATTATGGTCAAACTGGCATAGTCAGCCAAAAGAGAGGCGCCCACATAGATCCCCCAGAAGAAGTCACTGATGTCAAGGTGGCAAAGTGTAAGAAAGACAGAACCAATCTGGGTCAACTGGGTTAGACAGAGATCAGCTCTGCACTCCTAAGGCCATGGGAACCTGTTCCTGAATCTGTGGAGCGTCAATTTTCTGTTCTACTCTGAGTCCTACCATAATTAGAAGCATCATTATGTGGAAAGGAATTCCCAGCAGTTCCTAAACATCCTTCTCCTCCTTTAACAAATAAAGACATATGCATCTTGCATTAATACTGTGGAATAAATAATGAATTATAAATGGAATAGAAATTATAATACAGTGATATGATGTCTGCACAGATTTTTATGGTCCCCGGAGTCAGTCCCTTTAGAGATGTACATTATTTTCTCTATTTAAAGATATTCACAACTCTTTGTTAATCCAGCTCACCATACTCATCTAGGGACACTGGGAGGGAAAATGTATTTGGAATTCTATGGGCTCCATTCTTCCATTGCTTTTCAATTAGAGACACCATTCGTCTTGTGTGTTTTATCTCTTGGAGCGTTCTCCCATGTGCTGCTGGAAGATAACACTCTTTTCAGGTCTCTGAAGTTGCTGGGTTTTACTACGTGTCTCCTAACACCCATAGGTGTATGTAATCTCACTGTAACAGAATGTTGTCATGTCTTGTTGACTAATTAAGCACCCTCGTTCCAAAGCTCAGCAGCTGAAAGTTCAAGTGTTAAATGGTGGGATAGTGAATCCAGGAGGCAGTGAATGAGGAGGCGACTCGGGCCCTAGCTGGGATTTTACTTCTTGCTCTTCTGTTGTATTATTTTGTCTCTGTTTTGCCACATGCTGCTTGGTTGAAGACGCCAGGAGGCTCGACACAGAGCCAAATATATTGCCCAAACGTGAGATTAAAAATTAGATCATATGTGATAAAAGACAGCAATTTATTTTAGCTTGGTGTTACATCAGGAAAGTATGAAAAAATACAATCAATTTATTTGCTTACTCACACAACCAATACTGAGTGTCTGCTATGTGCTAGACACAGGAAACAAATACCAGGTCTAAAATGATCCATAAGACAAGATTCTTGCTCTTGAAATACACAATCCATTGGGAGAGAAAGACAAGTAGTAGAAGATTATAGGACAGCATCATGAGAATTGGGAGAAGGACTTGTTGAATTCAGGGAAGGTGGCATTTGAGCAGTGTAAGGGACCTGTTGGATGAACAGTGGGAATTGAAGTAGGAGGAAAACAGAATTTAGAAGATCATGAAGGACTTCCCATTCTGCAGCAAAAACTTGGGCTTTTACTCAAGGACTTGAGGAGCTGTTGAAGATTTCAACTGAGAAGCTTCGAGAGGAACCTTGAGACTGAGCTAGTGCCCCTCAATGGCTGTGTGAAAGGATGGACTCAATGGGAGGAAAGAATCAAACAAGCTGAGAGGACTCTAAAGAAAAAGAAAAGAGGCACTGAAAGACTGGGCTAAACAGTGATGATAGGCTCTCAAGTTATGGAAGAAGCATGTAAATGGGGCTGAGCAGGTCGCTGGAGTAAGGAGAGTTGGAGTCTGCTTTGGCTACCTTGCATGGAAATGATGCTGGTTGTTAAACCAAGGAATACAGGAAAAAAGACACTGTTTAGAGATGACATCATGATTTCAGTGTGAGTCAATTTCAGTTTGAGGCACCAATGAGACACGCAGGAGGAGTGGGCTGGTTAACCACCCACCAGTGCCCAGAGCTCAAGAGGAATGTCAGGGCTGGGATGAAGGTAAGTCAGAAACATTCCACAGCAGTTAAAAACCAAGTCTACATGCAGTGGGAATAACAGTAGCAAGATGTAACTATATAATCCTGGTCAACAATAAAATTTAAAGCAAATAAGAGGAAATCTAGGAAGGTAGACTTGGAGCAAGCATGTAGAGAGATATGAGTGATCCAGAAACAAGTTATGGCCCGAAAGTTAACATGGGGAGAGAGTGGATATGTGATTTTCAGATACCAGAGAAAGTGTCTGTCCTACTAGCATACAGTCCTATCCACTGGTTACTAGGCGAGGCAATAGATGTGTTAATTAGCTGGGTTTGGGGAATATTTCAAAATGTATACATAGATCAAAACAACACATTGTATATGTTAAATAAAATTTCAATTTCTCAGTGATACACCAATAAAGCTAAAAACAAACAAAAAAAGGTGGGGGGGGGGGCGCAGGTGCAGTGGCTCAGTCCTATAATCCCAGCAATTTTGGAGGCCGAAGTGAGCAGATCTCTTGAGTCCAGGAGTTTGAGACCAGTCTGGGCAACATGGTAAAACACCTTTTCTACGAAAAATGCAAAAACATTAAACGTGGTGGCATATGCCTGTAGTCCCAGCTACTCTGGAGGCTAAGATGGAAGGATTACCTGAGCCCAGGAGGTCGAGACTTCAGTGAGTCATGATCACACCACTACACTCTAGCCTGGGTGACAGAGTGAGACCTTGTCTTAAAAAAAAAGAAAGAAAGAAAGAAAAAGAAAAAGAATGATGAGGAATTGTCAGTGAATGTATAGGGGAGAAAATGAAACAGAAAAGACAATTTCTAAGTTTTTCAGCCTGCTTGTCTTGGAGAAGGAGGGATTCTTTGATAGAAATAAGACTCTTGAAGAAGTAGTGCTTCTCAGCATATAAAAATGCCTTTTTAAAAAATGGTGGTTCCAATTTCCCAAAGAAGAAGTAGCTTTAGAGTGTACCAGAAGACTACTATAAACATTTCACCTAATATGTCTCTTTAAATTTTGTGTATTCACTTAGCAATGAACTTTGCACGCCTTCATGTTAGTCCCTCAGTGAATACGCACTCACTTTCACACCGCTATGCCACCAGTGCAATTACCATTCCAGTGCAAACCCAACTGTGGTGGTCCTACCTCACCTGTCAGGAGCAATTTAATAACAGAGAACAGCACTGAGGTCTCATATTACTAATATTTCATTACATTTACAAAAGAGACAAGAGTGCATTCATTAGTATACTATGAAATATTACCATAAATAAGTAAAATTAAATTATACTTGTCAAAATAAATGAACACTGCACATACCATGATTCAGTGTCCCTAATTCTTTTAATTATGTTTTTTTCTTACTTGCTAATTTGTGAAATTTGCTAACTCACAATGGGCTCCCTTGTCATTAGTGAGAATGAGTCTGGTTCTGCTGGAATACAAAGGGCTTTGCACACCCTACGTAGCATGGCTCCTGGCATTTAGTACCTGGAGCACCATGTTGACTAATTGATTGGTGCTTTTTCTCACGTCAAGCTTGTTGCAAGCTACATATTAATTATCACCTTTTGAAATTGGTAATTAGGAGAAGAACGTTATCCAGGCAAATGGAAGTATACTATTTTGCTCTAAAATAGGAAATTCCAGTGCAGAGTTATAATGGTTAAAATGTTGCCGTATTTTTAGTGTTGTGCCTTGATGTTTAATGTTGTGTGTTTTCTATGAATGCAAAGAACAGATAATTGTGGTAATTTCAAATTTGTTCCTCTGCTGAGTCTACATTAGTGATCCATCACCTAGAAAAATACAGAAGTCATTTTGGCCTATGTGAAGCATGGTAAATCTTTAAATCTAGGCAATATTTATTGGGTACCTGCTTTTCGTATGTATGCATTCTCTAGCAATTGTATATAAATTATCTGATTAATCCTCACAATATTTCAGTGAGTTAGGCAGTTTGAGTTTCCTCTTATGAATAAGGAGTCTCAAAGGAGTTAAATAGACTTCCCAAGTTCATGCACCTGGTGAATGACAGATGGGAACATGCATGTTTCCATTACGTGTTTTACCTCCTCATGGCTTGATATCAGCTTATGTCAAACTGCCTGTAGATTGTATATTATTATTAAGAAATATATGGATTTGGATGATAAAGAAATAGGATACATGAAGAGAAAGACTGGAGAGGGGTATAGAGGAATCATTATCAGCAGGCATTAGGGAAAGGCTTACATAGTTGTCTCATTTTTAATTTTGATTCTTTTTTTTTGTTGGAAAAAGAACGATCGTTAAGAAAATTGAAAAAAGTAAAATGACAAAAGAAATACCTGTCAGCATTGCCTTTGGGTATTTTACTTTTCACATTTTTCTCCAAGCACCAAAGATACTAAAATTCTTCTGTAAGGCCTTTGACAGGGCTCTGATCAGATAGAATTTCACACCCTTCCCAGAACGTTTCCTGATGCTCTGGAGCATTCTGTGAAAGAGGGTGCAAAGGATCCTGCCTGACTTCCTCCAAGAGTAGGTCACGCAGGTTTCCTCCTGCTCCCTGTCTCACATCTTGGTCCGTTGGGGTTGCTATAATAAATTATCCTAACTTGGTGGCTTAGAAGCAGCCAACGTTTATTCTTCACAGTCTGGAAGCTAGAAGTCTGAGACCAGGAGCCAGCATGGTCGGGTTCTGATGAGAGCTCTCTTCCTGACTTGCAATTGGCCGCCTTCTGGCTGTGTTTCCACATGGTAGGGAGGGAGCTACAGAGGTAACGAGCTCTGTTGTGACTCTTCTAAGGCCACTAATCCTTTCCATGAGGGCTGTATCCTCATAACCTCATCTCATCCTAATTAGCTCTCAATGGCCCCACCTAATAGCATAACATTGGTGGGGTAGGGTTTCCATGTATGAATTTGGAAGGATACCAACATTCAAACCATGATGTCTCCTTGGGCTATGCACGAAGGGAGCCCGGAAGTCTCACCTACTGAGCGTTCATTCTGCTGCTGCTGGACAGGGGGCGCCACATAGAGGTGGAGAAGCTGAGGAGCCCAGGGTGTTCCTGGTAGTAACACCAGTTCTGTGAGTCTGCAAGCCTTAAAACCACTGCAGTGCCCAGCCTGGAGCCAGCTCCGCTTCCTCCAGCAGCAGCAGAGAAGTGGTGTCATCATGTAGACCCTCCCCAGTGGCAGATTTTTGAGAGAAATAAATAAATGTTGATTTTGCTTTAAGCCACTACATTTTAAGTGGTTTGTTACATAGTCATAGTAACTAGAACACACTCTTGTGATATTTTTGCATCAGAGATCATAATTTGATGCATATATTGTCTAAAAGAAAGATCGTTCCTGATAAATATCTATGGCGTTGTTACAACAATGTTCATAGAACAAGAAAAATATTATGCTGAAACCGCTTACTTTTAAACTTCTAATACAATCGTGAACAGAATTTGTTGAGCAGAGATTTTACTGTGGCCAGTACAATAGGATATGTTTTGCTGAGATGATCTTTAATTCACTCAAGGAAAAATTCTAGGAGTTAGGCCTGTTGAAAACCTTCCGTTTAACCAATTATATATATTTTTATATAATACCGAATACTTCCCAATACTCAGAAATGGAATTTATTTCTTTTGTCAATTAGTGATCATCATACCAGGTAACGTTATCTTCCAAAAAGATACTAGGTTGATGTTTTTTCAAAGCACTTATATACCTGTTGATAATGTAAAACAATTTGACTAACTATAATTCTTAGACCTCAAATTTCCTACTCCAAAATTCTAGAGCTGTGCGGGATAAGCTTTTTAGCAGTTAATGTTGAGGCAAAGTATAAGTCTAGTATTGTTTGCCTTTGTAGGTGATCATCTCGCAACTCACGAAAACTAAAAAATACATATAAGATTTTTCTTTTGTTAAAACACTAACAGAGTCAGTTTGGGTATGGATCTGGTAGGCATTTCGGAGTCTCTTCTTTACATACACAGGTCTTTATAAACCCTTTCTCTTCATGTATCCTATTTCTTTATCATTCGAGTGATGCTCAGTGTCACTAATTGCTAGCACACTCCCCACCCAGTACTTCTGTGCCTGTTTTTCTGTACCTAGGAACATTTCCCCTTTCATTTACCTTCCTGTGGCTCATTGTCCTTCTCAACATTCAGGGCTCTACTATCCCATACAGGTTGACCCTGATCGCGTGATCTAAAGGGAGTTTCCAGAGTCTCCCTGAACACTTTACCTTGTTTTATTTACTTTAAAGCATTTATCACTATCTGACAATATTCTATTTCTTCACTTGTTTGCTTGTTTATGATATTTCTTCTCCTATTAGAACTAAAACCACATGACAGCAGGATACTTCTGTGTTACTCATTCAGTTCTTCCCCACAGCCTAACACTGTGCCTGGAAGATAGCAATTGCCTCATGTGCATTTGTCAAATGGATGAATGAGTGGAGAAATGAATGGATGGATAGTTGATATCTTGCACAGAAATGCCAAACAGTTTTTGATTGAGATTTTTGATCCCTGCCGGCGGTCATCAATCCCTGTCCTCTCGTCTTGTTTAGTTCTCGGTTCTTTTCTTCCCATATTCCAGATCACATGGGCGTGATCCACAGTGATTCAGCTCTCAGCCATAGCAATTGTGCTATGCTCAGCTGTCAAGTGTGTTTTAAATCTCCTACTACTTTTTTTTTTTTAAGTTTTTCTGCCATCCTTTGTACCCCTTCTTAAAAATTTATCCAGGATGTAGTATGAAATCTCCAGTACCTCTCGGCACACACAGAGGTGTCTTTTTCTGTTTATTGTTTCCCTCTGAGAGTTGTAGTATTCAGTTGGTTACATCAAGAGAAGTACCTGGCTGGGACTATTAAAAAAAGTGTCACAAAGCAGCACCAAGGAGAAAACAACACTGTTTTCTGAATGTTCGTGCTTGGAATTTCTCTACTACAGGGAAAATGAGATGGGGGAGGGTCATTGTTATCTATTTTCAGACAGACATCACACAAATGCATAAAAAATGTAA